GGGTCGAAAACTCACACCTGCAATTCTTCACTCTTCGGATATCCTTAGCACATGTCTATATCACCTTAGGGCATTCACGAGTCTGAAGCCTCCTGCTGAAGAGCAACCGGGGATAAGGTGCCTCCTGCTGAAGTGCAACCGGAGGATGAGGTGCCTCCTGCTGCTGAGAATCACGTTGATGGTAATCGAATCTTGCGTTACATGAGGGTAGATTACAGAGAGTTGATGTGCAACGCACTCCAGACACAGGGCGACCTTACGAGTGGTGAACTGTCAGATGATGTCAATGCACAGCTCGTAGTCCTACTTGGTGTAGACTCGTACGATACAGATGACTCACTCACATCGCGCATTGAGACTTTCCTCAAGACTACGCCTGTAATGTTTGCTTACAGCGAGGACACGGCTCTCTGGTCACTCCGTCCAGAGCCATGGCGCTCACTGTCTAGCAGCACAAGAAGAAGGCTCGTTGACTCGCGCCTGTTCGACAGCCCTATGGAAGACCTGATCGATACAGACTTCGACTTTGGCATCGTCTTCGACAGACACAGCTGGAAGAGAACGCCGAAGAAGGACCGTCCAACAGAACTCAAAGATGCTTTTCATGCTCGGTCTCGCCTACCACTCAGGACTATACCGAAATCAAGAGCCATACGGACTACAAGCGAAAGACATGGTACCTGAAGCTACTGAACGGAGTTGCGAGTACAGTGCCACCTATGGTTTCCAATTCATCAAGATCTCGAGTTGACAGCTATTATGACACGACTCAACGAGCAGGAGGATGGTGCTGACGTTTTCTGGCTCCAGAGCGGATTTGATGGTTCCTCGGATGCTATCGATTACTTCGAACAGGTTGTTAGATCATGGCCAAATGTCAGAATAAAGGTGGTGATCGTGTCAGAATTGGCTCACCGTGGGAAGCAACACAAGTTTAGGAGGTCGCTTGCCCGGGGTGCGGGCTGGATAGACCATGAGCACAGTGCGTTAGCCGGCACAGATTCGTACTCCTTGATGTGGACTGTTCTCGACATGCGACGACTAGTTAGCGTCATATGTGACCGTGAGTCGGACATTATATACAACAGGGCACTCCACTTGATGTTGACATCGCACTGCGCAAAGCTCGATTACTCATCCTTCGCAACATCGGAAGTAACATTGTTCAATCCTAACTTCAGGTCCACAATTGGGCACAGGTCATCGTTTGGAGTAGGTGTGCTCACACAACGTTGTTATTGTTGCGGAGTAACTGTGCCGTTCGCTGAGCGATGGGTACGAGGACCGCGGACAATTGGGGAAATGGAGCAGTGTGCAATGTATCGACTAGCTTGTGGTCGTCCAGAATGCGAGCAGAAAGATGGCTCGGAGCCTGTTTAGGCCTCGGCTTGGTGCGAGCTTCGACTCTTCAAGCACCCAATTCTCTGCTGCAACCTTCCACACAGCAAGACACATCTATCGTCCAGTATGTCTCGAGTCTTGCATGAGTTTCTCTCAAGCTGACATGGTAGCAGCGATCAACAGTTCTGCCCAGCGCATATGTATACTAAGTGGGTGTTAATGAGCATGTCACCTTGTGAATTTGCGCCAAGGCGCGTTTCCGAGCTGTACGTGGCTTCTCGCGACAACCGTCAGCTACTGGTTTCTGCTCCCCCTTGAACTGGATCCTCAGCTGCATCCCTCGAACCCACCCCTTTCCTTGGTCCTGCCTCTTCTTCTTTCTTGGGCTTCTTTCCTTCTATTTGCACCACTTTCCACCTTTCAATTGCGCCTTCCCAGCGCTTGCATGGAGCTTGAAGTCTAAGCACCGAGTTCCCCGCGACGCCCAAACGAAGCTGCGAAGACCTTCCACAATTATCCACTTCTAATCACATCTTGGACTCCAATCCATCCACCATGGCCAACCGAGCCGCCAAATCCCCTGCCCGCCAGGCAAACACAAAGGCAGTTACCAAGCAAACTGGCTTCGCCTCAGAGGGTGTTGAGAACTACGATGTCTCGACCCTCAAGTCCAACGACTGGCTCATCTGCGGTGCACTGTCCGTTGTCGCCCTCTTCGTTCGCCTGTTCCGCATCTCTCAGCCCACAAGTGTCGTCTTCGATGAAGTCCAGTATGTCGAATCATAGCTATACTGCTAGCAATGCAGTCAAGAGCTGACCATCTTCTCCTAGCNNTTCGGTGGTTTCGCTTCCAAGTACATCAAGGGCAAGTTCTTCATGGACGTCCATCCCCCATTGGCCAAGCTTCTGATCACTCTCGCTGGCTGGCTGGCCGGCTTCGATGGCGAGTTCGACTTCAAAGATATCGGCAAGGACTACATCGAGCCCGCCGTTCCATACGTTTCCATGCGCCTTCTTCCTGCCCTCATGGGCGTCCTTACAATCCCCATCATGTTCTTGACCCTCAAGGCTTCAGGATGTAAGACCGTCACTGCTACCATGGGTGCCGGCTTGATTCTGTTCGAGAACGGTCTTGTCACCCAGTCTAGACTCATTCTGCTCGACTCTCCTTTGGTCATCTTTACCGCTCTGACCATTTTCGCCTGGACCTCTTTCACCAACCAACATGAGCAGGGCCCTTCCAAGGCTTTCACCCCTACTTGGTGGTTCTGGTTGGCTTTCAGCGGTCTCTGTCTCGGTGCTACCGTCAGTGTTAAGTGGGTTGGCCTCTTCACCATCGCATGGATCGGCAGTCTTACCCTCCTCCAACTCTGGGTTCTTCTGGGTGACACCAGGACGGTTACTCCTCGTCTTTGGTTCAAACATTTCTTTGCCCGTTTCTTCTGCCTGGTTGTTATTCCTGTTTCCTTCTACATGAGCATGTTTGCCATCCACTTCCTTTGCCTGGTCAACCCTGGCGATGGTGACGGTTTCATGTCTTCCGAGTTCCAGTCCACTCTCAACAGCAAGGGTATGCAGGACGTGCCAGCCGATGTCGCTTTCGGCAGCCGTGTCTCTATTCGTCACCACAACACTCAAGGAGGCTACCTGCACTCTCACAGCCACATGTACCCCACTGGCAGCAAGCAGCAGCAGATCACCCTCTATCCCCACAAGGACGAGAACAACGTTTGGCTTCTCGAGAACCAGACCCAGCCCATCGACCTTGAAGGTAACGAGATCAAGACTCCCCTCGCATGGGACAACATCGAACCTACCTTGATCGAAGACGGTGCCGTTCTCAAGCTCTACCACGTCATCACCGACCGCCGCGTCCACTCTCACGACCACCGTCCTCCCGTCACTGATGCCGACTGGCAGAACGAGGTTTCCGCATATGGCTACGAAGGATTCGAGGGTGATGCCAACGATCTGTTCAAGGTCGAGATTGTCAAGCACTTGTCGGACGGTGAAGTCGCAAAGAACCGTCTGCGTACTATTGAAACCAAGTTCAAGCTCGTTCACATCATGACTGGCTGTGTTTTGTTCTCGCACAAGGTCAAGCTTCCCGACTGGGGCTTCGAGCAGCAAGAAGTGACTTGCGCAAAGGGCGGCACCCTGCCCAACAGTATCTGGTACATCGAGAGCAACGACCACCCCCAACTCAAGGCAGATGCTGAGAAGGTCAACTACCGCAACCCTGGCTTCTTCGGCAAGTTCTGGGAGCTCCAGAAGGTCATGTGGACCACCAATGCTGGACTTGTTGAGTCTCACGCCTGGGACTCGCGTCCTCAGTCATGGCCAATCCTTCGCCGTGGTATCAACTTCTGGGGCAAGGACCATCGTCAAATCTACCTTATTGGTAACCCTCTTATCTGGTGGACTTCGACCGTCTCCGTTGTTGTATATCTGGCCTTCAAGGCACTGGCTGTCTTGAGATGGCAGCGTGGATACAAGGACTACAACAACGTGCCCTTCAAGAGATTCGACTACGAGGTTGGCACCAGTGTCCTCGGCTGGGCTCTTCACTGGCTTCCTTTCTTCCTCATGCAGAGACAACTTTTCCTGCACCACTACTTCCCCGCTCTTTATTTCGCCATCATCGCCCTCTCTCAGACCTACGACTTCATTACTGCTCGCGTTCCTGCTCTTGGTCTGCGCCAGCGCCCGATCATTGGAACTGCTGGTGCAGCCATCTTCTTGGCCCTCAGCATCAGCATCTTCTACATGTACTCCCNNCCTGTCGCATACGGAAACGCCTGGACCAAGACAGACTGCGCCAAGGCCAAGCTCTTCGAGACGTGGGATTGGGACTGCAACACTTTCCATGACAGCGTAAGTTTATCGGATGACTAAGAATCAGAAGGCCAAAAACTGACACACGATCAACAGTACTCCGAGTACAAGACTTATGAAAGAACAATCGCTGCCGCCAAGCCGACTGGAGCAGCAGCTTCTCCAGCTGTTCAGTTCTCGGATGAGGTTGTCCCCGAGGCTCTAGTGACCGACCGTGTACTGTCGGGCGAAGAGAAGATTGAATACCGCGATGAGGCTGGCAACATCCTCAACGAAGAGCAAGTCAAGGAGCTTGAGGGCAAGGTTTCGTTCTCTACACGCTACGAGACGCGTACCAGATTGGTGGATGCCAACGGTAACGAAGTCTACGATGGTGTGGTGAATGAAGAGGAGAGCTACGCAGGAACAATTGCCGAGGGCAGCAACCAGGAAACTGGTGGAGTTGAGCAGGACGCTGCCAACGAGCAGCCTGCCAGCGTCAATGTCCACGACGATATTGAGAAGGAGAAGAGCATCGAAGAGAGCACAGTATCGGCAGAGCCAGAGAGCGATGCTGGTGCTGCTACAGGAAAGGATGAGCTGTAAAATGCGCGGTCATTCAAATGCGGGAGTTGTCAGGAAAATATCAGGCAACGAAGTTATGCTGAACGCTACAGTAGGAGCAGCTCCAGAAATATTTAGTGATATCCAATTTCTTTTGTTATAATCACGTTTCTTTCCATCAATGTCTTTGCACAATGTAGTATAGATGCTTCGTTGTTGCACTGTGTGAAGCACCTGCCTAGAGTTGGGTCGGTGTTTGTATTTGAAGATTGCATGCGACGATGACGATTTGTGTGCGGAGAAAACACTCCAGCCTGAAATTATTTGGAGTTTCGGAGTTATCCTCAAACATCAACAACAATGGGCAAGAACAAGAAAAGAGAAAGGACACGGCGCCTCATCCGCGAAGACCACCACCGAGCGAAAGACGACAGGTCATCTCGTACGACGACATCGAGGACGAGGCAGCCCCGCCTGTTCCACGACAGAAAGTCTCTTATGGCAGCGACTCCAACGACGACGATGTCGACCAAGTGCCCGATCAGAGACACGCTGTTGTGTCAAAAGAGGCCTTGAAAGAACGTGAGCGTCCACAGACAGACGTTATCTACGGCCAAGTGGGCGCCTTCCCAGGACTGGACCCACGCGACAAGGCTCCCTTCTACGGTCCTGCCAACGATGGCCTCGACTATCTACGTATGGTCAGGTAAGTAATTCCTGTCCCTTTGCTACTCTTGATCCATCTGACACATTTACNNAGATCCGAAGCACGCGGTATCCCGCACATCGTTCGCGCTCCGCCTCCCCAAACATTCCAACCTGTTGACGATGACGATGACTATGAAGAACATGTTGACGATTACGACGGCTACTACGAGGAAGATTCTGAGAATGAAGATCAAGAGGGTTGGTACGAGGATGGTGCTTATGTGGCTCCTTCGATCGCCGCCNCCATCATCGGTCCCGTTCAACCAGGCATGAAAGCCCAGGATGCCTTCTACGACTCCCTCAGAATTCGCTTCGAAACGCTGCGTCGCAACTTGCGAGCCTCACCCTCGGTCCATGCCGTTCAATCCCTCGATGACCAGCATCCTATTTCTCTACCTTTTGGCAATAAGATGGCCGACAAGGAATGGAAGTATCACCTTGTTCACACCACTCCACTTCCTGCTCAGCTGGCTTCTCTTGACTCTCCTTCAATCCTTCGCTTGTTGAAGCTTGTCGAAGGCCAGCTGGAGAACTGCCGTAAAACAAACATTCCAAACAATCTCGGCCTGTGGGCGTGGTCCTTGTTAGCAAAGCTGGACGACGTTGGCTTGTTGCAAACTAGAGAGGTCGGCGTAGTTCGAGATCTGGCAAAGATGGCCATCTGGGTACGTATGATGCATCACAAAGCCAAGTACGGTAGGTCCAACGACCCTGACTACGAACACCTCGACCACTATCCCGAAGAAAATGCTGCCCAGAACGATGAAGGCGAGCTTGTCGCCGCAGACCAGCCAGATGCTACCGAAGCTGGCGCACCAGAAGCTGAATCGAACGAGGTTGCAGTCGAAGCACAGATCAAGGAAGAGATCACATCTGCACAGGATGAACAAGGAAGTGATGCCATGGATTTGGAAGATGAGGGCCAACTCCTAGACGCCATTGCTGCTAAGAAGCGCGAGCTACAGATCGAAGCCGAGGCTCAAGAANAGAACGAACAGAACCAAGAAGAGTTCCCTGACACTAACACGTGTGTGACTATTGACATGCTCGTCACGGTGGCTAGCGAGTTCTATGGTCAGAAAGACCTTATTGTTGGTCGTCTGCCCTGGGAGCATCCCACGGAATGAAATCATACTAATGTTACAAGCCCATCATTTCTTCCAAAAGCCATGTTAACGCTGCAACAGCATATGCGTCGACTGCCACTTGCAGCGTCGGCATTATTACTGGTGCGAACAGAGCACTGTGGTTGATAGGCACATCTCCAGGCCGCCCTTCCTCCGCCACTTTGTCCCACAACTTAGGATCTGTGCCTCCATAGGTCCAGAAAGACGAAGGTTTTCCGATCGCCGTGGCTNNGTATCATAGTGTCAGCTTATTCCATAGGACATACATAGCAGAGCATGCTGGGGAGGTGATGACCAAGTCAAACTTACCTAGAATTCCAAAGTCCTCGCTTCCACCAAGCTTTGCCGCAGAACTCGTGTACGAGTTATCATCAGTCCCAAAGTGCTCGCCGAAGCTTTCTTCCAGACGCTGCGTGACCTCGTCGTCATTAATGGTAAGCGGGAAGTTTCTCGTTGTCTCAAAGGTAGGATCTTGAACGGCGCCACTGGCCATAGATTCGGCATTGACAATTCTCTTGACACTGCTCAAGACTTTGCTCCTGGTTTCTGCATTCAGAGCCCTCAAGTCCAGTTTCAAAATTGCATTGTCGGCGACCACGTTTTCTGCATCTCCGGCTATTATGCATGCGCAAGTGACCACGGCGGTGTCGGCGGGATCGACTTCTCTGCTGACAATGGTTTGGAGTCTCATGACTGTGCTTGCAGCCATTACTACCGGGTCGACTAGTCTGTGAGGTTGACTGGCGTGTCCGCCCTTGCCGTGCAGAGTCACCTTTAGCGAGTCTGCTGAGGAGGCCATGAGGCCGCGCTTAGTGCCTAGAGTGCCTGCTCGCATAGGCATAACGTGGCCGCCCAAGACAACATCTGGGATGGGCACTTTGTCGTAGAGTCCATCGTCCACCATAGCCTGCGCACCTTGACCTTTCTCCTCCGCCGGTTGGAAACAGAAAATCAATGTTCCAGACCAAGTATCCCTGGAATTGTAGAGCAAACTCGCAGCAGCAAGCAAAGAAGTCATGTGTACATCATGGCCACAAGCATGCATAGTAGGCTTCTCCACACCTTCAAGATCTACCATACGTTTCTTGCTCGCCCACTCAAGTCCTGATTTCTCCTCTACGGGCAGTCCATCGATATCAGCGCGAAGCAATACAGTGGCACCATTTCCGTTCTTGAGTACGCCTGCTAAGCCGTGGCCGCCAATCCCAGTGTGTAGTTCCACGTCTGGACATTTTTGGGACAGGTGTTCGGCGATTTTTGCTGCGGTTTCTTTTTCTTGGTGTGATAGCTCTGGGTGAGCGTGGAAATGCTTGTATAGAGGTACGTATTCCTGTTCTAGATCTGGACGGTGTGTGGACACGACCTTGCTGATGGGATTATCTGTCTTTGACATTGTTTCTTTTTTGCTATGTTTCGTGAAATTGGACAGGGAAGAAGTGGAGGTTGAATTGGAAGAGGGCAAGTGAGTATCTATGTATCGAGGTATATATGGAACCCCGCCTTTATCTTTGGCCGAAGAGTTGGCCGTACCTGACGATCTGCCGATGGGGAAGGAGGTTGGCGGATGAGTCAATGGGTTGTCTTTATGACTCGAATCTTCCCATGTTCTGCATCTGTAGAGTATGCAGTCAGACTTGGACATTGCTACCCCGTGTGCAAAAGTATGTAACGCATGTGGCTATAGAAATGCACAATACTAATAGACGATAGGATGTTGTCCACTGAGAAGCGATCTCTTAGTAGCTCTCTTTGGCCAATCTTCGTTTCTAAATACAACTGTGCATTTTGATAACCCTTATTTTGCTCACCGCTACAGTCGGAGTACAGTAATAGTTACATTCTTTAGCACACATCTTCAAGATACCGTCTCATCGCGTAAAACTGCCCATACCGCGCTCCACGAAACACCCCACGACGGGCGTCGGCGAGATCGGCGAAGCATGGCGGGTGCCGCCAAAGATACGGCGAGGGTGTTACTCGATAGGAAATCATTCCATCGAGTAAGCAGTTATACCAGTCTTTTGCCCAACAATCTTCTTTTCTTCTCACCGACTTGTTTCTTCTTCTCTCCTTCTTTTCTTTCCACTACACTTTTCCTACCTTATACCTCAATTTCTACAGTTTGAATATATCAACAACCAACTACGTCAACAATGTCAGACACCGTCAACAATGGCCAGGTCAAGGCCATCCCAATGGAAGAGATCCAGTCCACATTCGGCTCCAACAGCATCGATCTGATCAGCAAACCTCTTGGCTCCCGTATCCTCTCCTTCTCCGATGAATGGTTTGCGGCCGCCGAGAACCTCACCACCCCTACTGCACCAATTCGCAAACCCGGCGTCTTCGTCTTCTCAGGAGCCTGGTACGATGGCTGGGAGACTCGCCGTCACAATCCCGAGCCTTTCGACTGGGTAGTCTTCCGCTTGGGCGTTGCCTCCGGCAGAGTCAAGGGTGTCGAGATCGACACTGCGTTCTTCAATGGCAACCATGCGCCAGAGGTTGCTGTACAGGGCTGCTTTGCCTCTGACGACAGAGAAGAAGAAATCAAGAGCAAGGACTTCAACGAGTGGGAAACCATTCTTCCAATCCAGGAATGTGGGCCTTCGCAACGACACGCATGGCTGCTTCCCTCCATCACAAAACCTTACACACACATCCGTCTCCAAATGTTCCCTGACGGCGGCATTGCTCGTTTCCGTCTTTACGGCGACGTCCAAGCCGTTCTCCCCAAAGACACATCAGCAGTCTTCGACCTCGCAGCCACCGTCAACGGCGGCGTAGCAATCCAATGCTCCGACCAACACTTTGGCACAAAAGACAACCTGCTGCTCCCCGGCCGCGGCAAAGACATGGGCGATGGCTGGGAAACCAAACGCACGCGCGGCGAACACATTGACTGGTGCATCATCCGTCTCGGCACCACCGGCCACATCTCCAAATTGCTGATCGATACCGCACACTTCAGAGGCAACTTCCCGCAAAAGGTGCAGGTGTTTGCAGCCGAGGCTGGAGAGGCTCCTGCGCATGATAGCGGCAAGTGGATCGAGATCTTGAGTCCGCAGAAGACGGGTCCGGACTTTGAACATGTTTATGAGGGAGATTTGTTGAAGGAGGTGCAGGGCAAGGCTTATGGTTACGTCAAGTTGGTCATGATTCCTGACGGCGGTATCTCGAGAATCAAGGTCTTTGGTAGTAAGGCTGTGTAAAATAGACGTATCTTCGTCTCATATAACATAAACAAAAGCTATCTTTGTACACTTGTCTTGGATCTGGGTTGCAAAGTGTGGAGGCTGGGTGACGCCTTACTGTAGATCAAAACATCTTGCAGCAAGCTTTCATTGAAAACCACTCCCATTGCTGACAGAGCCCCCAAACAAAAAGAGAGACGACGACGAAACAAAACGTACAGCAGCAGGGATTCCCACGTGGTCACCCACCGTAGTACTAATCTGCCGTTCAACTGCTTATGTATGGCAGAGCGGACGGGATGCCCAGTTTTCAGCTGACTGTGGCCGTACGTGCTTGATACCAATTCTCGACACAATAAGTAGTCGTTCCATTAACACAATGTAGGAAGAAGGAAAACAAAACACCAGCCTGTCGTTGCAAGCATAAGTCGTCAACACGTGAAAGAAACTTCCATCAAGAACTTCTCTTGCCCATGGGTTCGAAGGGGAATAAGGCGGCAACTGAAGCCATGATGATGTACAACGCAGCACAGATGTAGATGGGAACGGGAGTGCTGGTGTTGGCATATCTGTAATATCATCAGCATTGGCACTTGGATCGATTCGCCAGGACCTTGATCGTTTGTGTCTGGAAGACTTACGTCGCAACCACTGCACTGATGATACCCATGACTCGGTTCAACGCTATGGCAATACCGTTTCCAGTTCCTCGGTGAGCGGAGGGCAGCACTTCAGGAGTGTATGCATAAAGCGTGGCATAGTAGATGTTCTGCAAACAGTCAGACGAGAACAATTCGAGGCTATGCTGTAGACATACCAAGCAAAAACTGATACAACAAGTAAAAGCAAGGTTCTGAGCATTGTTGCGGACCTGAGTGTATGCAAAGAAGAAAGTCATAGTAATCAGAGCACCAATAATCATAGTTCCTCTCCTGCCCCAGAAGAACTTACTTCTGCACATATAACCTGCCAATATTGGAGAGGGGATGGAGCAGAGATTGGCAATGGCATAATTGCGCCAGTAGACAGATTGGGATTGTTCGCCAAACTCTGCACCGCGGGTAGCCAAGTAAGTGGGCAGGAAGACGTTGTAGAGTGGATAAGCAAGACCGATGAGAAGCCAGGAGAACCAAATCAGAGATGTGGAAAGTCCCATGCGTTTGGTTGCGAAGAGACCGCGGCAGTGGACGATGATTTCCATGGGAGAAAACTTGAATCTGGCATGTGAAGCAGATGTGNNCTGGATGCTTGGGTCAGTGCCTGTATAATAAATCGCAAAGCCCGAGTAATCAAAAACTTACGCCGCCTGACTGTCACCACATGCCTCGAGCTGCTCTAGCGTCAAGCTGCAAGGTCGGTTGTATTTATTCGCAATGAACTGGAGGGTTTCAACCACTTCGGCATCTTTACCAAGNAACTTTGGTGTTTCCCTGAGCTTGATGACGAAGATGCGGGCAAGAGACATGACCAAGACGAGGGCGCCGTCAGCAAACCAGACATAGCGCCAGCCCATGTTGTTAGCACGAGTACATGTCGCAGCAGTCGCGCAAGAATAGTTGGGTAGGAAAGCCCAAGAGAACAGGCCAGCAACTAGCTGTCCAACTCCCCACCAAGCAGCCAAAGCAGTGATCATCCATTGACTCTGACTAGGCAGGTATTCGAGAAAGACGGCCGTGTCAAGGACAAGGTTGCCACCACTTCCAAATGCAGACAAGCAGATAAAGAGACCGAGGACAGTCCAGTTTGGAGAAGCTCCTGCAACGATAGCAAAGACAGAAGATATCATAAGGGAGAAGTTGAAGGCGAATTTGCGGCCAATCACATCTGCTGAGAAGCCCCAGAAGAGGGCACCAACCAGCATGCCAACATAGACGGCAATGGTAAGGCCTGGAAGGATTTAGCATAATGGTTTCAAGTGTCGTGTGAGCTCACCTTTCGGGAACGATGGTTGGAACTCCTTGGCGGCATACGAAGCGATATTTCCTTGAGCAAGAAGAAGCAACGAGTCTACCGCGTAACTAAATTGATGGAGCCATCATGTCAGCTGTTTCATATGTCTAATTTGAGCGATGATGATGGCACGCGACAGGCACGCAGATCAAGAGTGTCACGCGATGGACATGTGAAAGTCGCGTGGGTCGGTAACCCAAAAGTTTCTGGGATGACAATATCGCAATGAAGGTAACCACAAAGATGATACTGACCCAAACCCGTTCAAGACGAACAGCTTCCAGTGGTAGCCTGTGAAGCCTATCTCGTCAATAGCATTGTTGACCAAGTGCATCTTGGCATTCAGAACCAGGTCGACATGTTCGGCACCAAGGATATCGCCCTTGCCTAAGGAAGAACTCTCATCGTCGCTTTGGGCATTGATCGGACGAGGCAGAGCGTCTACATGTTCAGGTGCTTTAGTGTCGTCAAACTTAGGAGCCATGGTGCTGTGGATGGCTGTACGACAAGTGGGGTAGAGATGGTGGGCGGATCAACGATTGCCAGAGTCCGACTCGAGTTGGAAAGTGCGATGTATGGAAGACCTTGTATGAATTCAAGACTTAGATGCTAAAGAAAAGGTATGTAGTAAGTATATCAGCTATCCAGAGCCTTAGGGCCTATAATTCTGATTGAGGTAGCAAAGGGGTGGTCTGAACCCTGGGCCGAAGGAGCAAACATCCACGAGGTGCTTCTCCAGATCTTGAGTTGTCGACTGGAGGGTGATATCCAATTGATCTAGCCGAATTAGGTATAATACGGTGACCCTGATCAAGAAACATCGACCACGTGTATTCATGGGGACTCAACCAAAACCTACATACCACTCCTACTAAGAAGGCAGTGCGTTCTTCTTCCACGGAGACTCATAAGATCCCAGTGTGAGAAAACGCATATTTGACAAATACTGCTCGAGGATGTCAACACGAGAGCGATAAAAGAGGCACAGAGTCAATGAGAGCTCGACGACGTGTACCTGTCAAAGAAGAGCGATACGGCACATAGCGTATGTGGCATCAAGAAGGCGAACACATTCAGAGGGAAGGTAGTGGGTGTGCAACCGTCTAGATTGATAGACTGGTGCTCGAGTACGGTAGCTGGATAGCATGATCGGAGACGATTCTCGTGTTTTCTGCATACAGCTGCGTTCCGCTCGTGTTCACTGCATTTGCACAACACAACTATCGACTGGGTGCATCCTATTGATTGCATCATGGTCATGGAAATTCCAGCTCGGTACATGATGTTCCGTTTGCGGAATCTTTTGTGGTTACTCCAGGGCAGATGCGACAGCTTGGTATCTTGGCTGCAGTGCCCCATTTCTATTTTGCGACCAAAGGACGACGTACAAAGCAAGCCGGCGTTTTGGCTACATGTTGGCATAGAAAAGGACTGATGCCATGGCTCGACAATTTCACCCAAAGCATGAGGTGCTATCGAATTGTGTCATGCTTCGACATGATATTTATTGCACACGCCTCTCGCTCGTTTGTCACTTCAATACCTGGCTCTTCTTCAGCACTCGTCGCTGTCTATCAACCTAATTTGGCGTGACAATGTACACACCCCTCGTCATAGCACTGTTTGCAAGTGCAAAGGCAGTATTCGCCGCTTGTTCTGGCCCTCTTGTCATTGACGACTTTTCAAAATGGTCGTCTAATTCTAACAGTTTGAACGATTGGGTCAGCGGTACGTTGAAAGCGTATCACCTCATGCTTCTTACCTCCGATTCACCTCGTCTCTTGCTTCTTACTGACTGACATANNGATGACGGCTCAATGAGTTCAACCAGCGCTGCTAATGGCAAGTTGTCTGTGGTGCCTAATGCCGACTCGTACATCTACGAGTCGTTCGCATGTCAAACTGCCCTGTCTGATGGCTACAATGCTATCACGTTTCCTGTCAAAGGCCCTGCTGGTGGATCGTTCACACTCGAAATCCAGACAAAGACTGCATGTTCTGCAGATGCCTATCAGAGCTACTTCTACTACGTGTCCGATCTGACAGGCGACACTCAGACTATCACTGTGCCTCTAACTTCGTTTCCCGGTGCAAACTCTAACGCTATCACCAGCTTCGTTTGGAGTGGTTTCTCAAGCTTATCCACAATCTGGGAGTTTGGCAAGGTCCAACTTGAATGCAGCTCCGGATCTGGCTCTACATCCAAATCTAGTGGTGTGACCTCCCGGGTCAGCTCTCCCTCGACTGTATCCAGTAAGGTTCCAGCTCCCACAGGGCAATGTACCAATCTTCTGATTGATGACTGGACTTCACAATCTCGTCTGACCTTTTTGTACTACAACGCCATGCTCAATCCTAGCTCGGATGATGGAACCATGAAATCTGTTGTTGTCGACCCAATTAAGAACAGAGTAACATACAGTCCCAAGGATGGTAGCAGCTACTTCTATACACAACTCGGTTGTACCAACGCTCAGAATCGCTTCGGCGGTATCTCAATGAGGCTCAGTGCCCCTGCAGGTACAACTCTGTCTGTCGAGCTCGATTCTGGGTGCAACGGGGAGAGTGATAAGCAGACAACTCTTTCAAGCAGCGATCTCGGATGGACCTTCGATGGGAATGAGAAGTTGTACAGCATCCCTTTCAATAAATTTGCTGGTCTCGACATCTCAAAGGTCGCAACATTGCTGTTCTCCCAGCTAACGTCGCCTGTCACATTCAACCCCATGGCCTTTTACTGTGGGAACACTCCGACAGAGTACATTCCTAACAACTCCGGCGCTCCTATAGTTCCCACCTCGACAGTTGCAGCGCCATCCGCCACGGCATCTACACTTGTCATTGATACGTTCGGCAACCAAGAAAGCAACACACTCGGCAATTGGCATGGTGCTGATGAGGGCATGGTATTGAAATGGGGTGCCAATAAACTGACCATACAATCCAATGACGCAGATTACGCCTTCTACACTCAACTCTCAGGTACTTGCAGCGACATGACTATGTATGACGGCAGTTACCTTCACATCGCATACACTGGCTCAAATGCCTTCACTATTGCTCTGCAGCAGCACAATTCTGCCTGCGACGAAACTATCGCGCCATACCCTGAGACATGGGACTCTCTTGAGGCTGCTCGTTATGCTACTGCCACCGACATTTACATCCCCATGAACCACTTCAACATCAACAAGGGCCGTGCTATTGGCTTTGCTCTCAAAGGATTTTACAAGGCCGATCCCGTCACTCTAACCAAGATCGAGATTGTCAAATCTGTTCCGGCAAACTTCAAAGTCCCCAACAAGCTTCCTTCTGGAAACTTGATTTTTGCATGCAAGCGACCCAACAGTTTCGCGTTTGCTATCGACGATGGCTCACCTGAATACGCTCAGGAAGTACTCAGCATCATCAAAGAGGAAAACATCAAGGCGACTTTCTTCACTGTTGGCGCGCCACTTCTGGATCCTAGCACCAACCTTTCGAATGTCTACAACGAGATGTTGTCAGCGGGCCATCAGATTGCTTTGCATTCTTATACACATCCAAAAATGGAAGGCCTTCCTGATTATGCCGCCATAGATTGGGAATACAACCAAGATATTGCCGCTGTCAAACAAGTACTGCCTCGTCTAGGCAACACGTGCTATTTCCGTCCTCCTTTCGGCACTGAGGGTGCGCGCATGCGACAGCGCTTGGCCGTAGCCACTGGCTCCGATGAACCATATATCGTCAACTGGAGCGTTGATGTTGAAGACTGGCTCTGGGCCGAGACAGACACGCCTGAAGAGCAACTCGATGCCTTCAAGCGTGATGTCGCCAAAGGGGGAAATCTTGTTGTCATGCATTACTTGTACCCGAGTACTGTCGGCTACCTTCGCCAGTTCATCCAGATAGCCAAAGCGACGGGCAAGCAGTTGATGCGTGTCGACCAGTGTATGGAGGACCCGAACGCACCTCCATTGTAAGCATCTGAATCCCAGGACAACTGTCTCTGGCCTAGTGTGGTACGACGTGCTAGAGAATAATTACTTGGCTTTCCATAATCTCCTCATAGGCATTTGAATCCTACACCCATTCTTAGGCACAAGTGCACAAGACCAAACCAGGCCTTCAAAGTATAATCTTCTTGTTTCTTGACAATACCCTACAGTACTGAGCCTGAAAGAAAAAAATCCACTCAACACTAACTAGCCATGTTCCGTTGCATGGCCTCATTGTGAAGTACTGGCCATTGATATGCTGGCACTGTACAATAGAAAAATAGCCACACCCACATGAAACCCAATATCTGCTTAACGGGCATTGAAACCATTCTGGACATGCTCTTCGGCATCACTCGAATGGCAAGAACTTCCAGTAAGCCGCCACAAAAGTTCTTCAGCAGGAAGTAGAGATCAAGAAAAGGATCAGAATCTGGATCAGGTTTGATGTTCACAAAGCAATGGATGATTCCTGATATTGTAAAAACCCATAGTGCAATGAAACATTTCTCGGCTGAACTTCCTGCACGGAAACCAAATAGACGTTGCGAGATGGTGCGACCATATATTCTTTGCGATGGGGCAGCTATCTTGTGCCAAAGTTTGCCCCAGAAGCGTCGTAGACTGTATGCTTGGAGCGGACTACCGAAAAGTGGCGGCCAATCGTCTGGATGATCTAGCGGCAAGATGGCAACGAGTAGAACGGCCATACCAGAATGGATGATGTGCGAGAAGAATATAGTGATCCAAGCCCAATAGAATGCGAAACATAGACGCAACAAAGCCTGTCGATCCAACTTGAGATGGATATGATGCATGTGTTCGGCAGAAAAGTCATCCGGGTGCGGTTGAAGGGCGACTGAGATCAAAGTCTCTATAACAATGCAGCAAGTCCCAAGTGCTATCATCTCTAACACTTTGCATTTGACAAAGACTGCACGCTGATACACTGAAGCTCTCTGCCCTGGATGGTGTTCGAGAGGAAATCTTCTCAGGTTCATCCAAGCCTTGAGGACAATGGCAAAATCGCTCCGACCTGGACAGGTCTTACGTAGCTCGGGCAGAGTCCAGCGTTCGATCATCAAGGCAGATGTATGGTGCATAGCGGCACATAGTGTCGTCAAAGCCATGAACCAGACGCTTCCAGGCAGACTGAGAGACAATCGATCGACCTCAAGATAAGATTTGACTGGCAGGAGCATGTGGACTAGCAATACTACTCTCCTAGATTCGAGAGGCTGGCGCAGAGAATAGTAGAATAGAGGAAGGGTTGCCATGAACCAGCCAATGGGCACCAGNGGCGGAAAGGAAGTCTGCATGTGGAAACGTCATGCTCTGGAAACAAAGACTCGAAGTGCGTGTTCTGACGGGTGCGTAGAAAATCTCAATGCAAAGCTGTTGTGGTTTGAGGGGAGCGGCTTTGTGGGCTTCCATCAGCTTTATATACACGAAGCCATTGCAAGGTTCCACAAAAATGCAAATTAGCCTGCCATCGGATGCATCCACGGGCTTACTTTGTTTTGGTTGTTGGGTTTCTCAACCAGAACTAGTAGCAAATCATGAGACAGTCCCGTGCAGCATTGCAGCACCAACTGGAGTTTTATATCATAGGCAAAAGACAAATTGAACCTCTTGAACTTCGAGATTTGGGTCCAGGCTCAGAAACAATCACAATACAGCGAAACACATTTTCGAACTGCGGTTTTTTGAGATATTCTAACGAGTGACTTTGTCTATATTCGACGTTGGCTATATATATGGTTCTTGTGTTGCTCCGATCCTGTATGATGGCTAGCTGAACAGATGCATCATGGAGGACGAGCGAACAACTTTTCGCTGTTAGGAACAGTTGCCCCTTGAATTCTTAGGCAACGCCTTGGAGAGCAGTGGCAAGCTGATTGTATTCGTCCTGAGAGAGTCCAGAGTACTGGAGACATGCTGAGCCGCAAGGCAAGGCGTATGGATCGCCAGAACCATCACCAACAAGAACATTGGCGAGGTTCATGCAAGAGGCCGGAACGTTATCGAATTTCACAGCTGTAACATTCATTAGCGAATCAGTCGTCATCAGTCAAACATCACGTACTCATGGCGGCTGGGCTAGTGACTTCGATTCGAGTGCTAGCCACTTCGTCGTAGCAGCGGTTGTATTCCTCGTCCGAGACTCCTGGGTAAGGACTGGTGCTCTGGCGCCTGACCTTCTTGGTGGCAACTTCCACACCCACGTTCCATGCGCCAGTACCAATTTCAGACGCAATTCTGCCAATCAAGCCGAGTCCTTGTCCGAAGTTGGCTTCACCTGACTGGACCATGACGGCGACCATGGCAGTGGCGATGCTCAAGGTGTTGAAATGCATGATAACAGAGTGAAGATGAGATGAGGAACGAGTATCCTTGGTAGGTGAATGTATGTTGTGAGGTGCGGAGCTTCTGCTGAATTGACTGATCTGGAGCTTGAAGGAGAGATGAGTAGGGGCTTCTTATACCATGCCTGAGAGTCTCAAAGGATTCATCCTGACCTCGGATTGTTCTATCATTCCATCATTGAGTAGCTGTTCTATTCGTACCCAAATCTGTTGAGGTGGGATGAGGATATCCAAAACTGCACTCGTTATTATGTGCCACACCCTATCACTCATTGACATGGACAGGGGCGGATTCAGATTACTCTCGATGGGAGGCATAGGAGATGATGCGTTCTGGGCATTCCTTTGCCAATGTTAAGAAATTCTTTGCTCAAAGGATCTCCAAGATGGTACAGTGTCTTCAGGATTCCTTCGTATTTCGCTAGAGACTCAACGTTGTTGAAGTCTCCACAGCAATCACACTACAGTGGGACTGAGAAGTTGTTGCTTTTTCTATTCCTTCCCAACTATTGAATGGCTGCATGGGTAGGCTATAAATTTCGTGCACGTGTGCAGGTCCTGGTCATTCGTGGACAGTCATCATGATTATCATGAAGGCTCGATCATTCTCCAGCAAGCAGCTCAAATGACTGCCTTCGTGTTCGAGTCCACTTTGCCAACTACATTGTAGCTGGATGTGTGGACTGTTCCATGTGATCCCTACGTATGTACAAGCTGTGCGAAAAGTGATGGACGTCTAGTTTGCACATACGGATGACATACATACAACTAGCATGCAGAAACCGAAAGCAGCTTCCACGAGACATTTTAAACGAGTAGTTGCACCAATCCGATCGATGTTGTGCAAGCAAAATATGCTTTATAGCAGTAAACTCTCTAGCAAATCAGACCTCGAAAGACTGAAGCTAATTCGAAGGTCCGCAGATACGTCGAGCGCTTGACCTCAACGACAGAAATACCCGCAACCTACTTCTTCCTTCTTAGGCTTTTGAAAGGATTGCCATATTGCTCAATATCATGGCCAAAATAGTTCCACTTGCTTGTGCTTCCAGTCATCCGAGCAAGCTTTCCTTTGTAGGTAGGATCTTCATCATAATTCTCTACCCTCTTCGGACGCGTAGTGTGCATCTTGTCTGTACGCGGATCCGGTGGCGCAAACATAGCGCGAACTGCTGCGGCATTAGGTCCACTAGAGCTAGAAGCATTCGAGGTATGAGCCTGGGCCTTTAGTTTCCCAGCAGAACTTGATGGCAAAGCACTGCCGCTGTACGCAGGCGGTTGATCAGAGACCCCGCTATACGATGGCAGCGTAGTCGCTGTACTTTCCAGGCTGCTCCTTGTGGCAAAGGAAGGTCGTCGCTTCGTTTGCACGGTTGTAGCTTCTTCGAATGTGTTGGACTTCTCTTCGGGCTTGACGCTATCGACTGTCGACCCAGACAGTGTGGTGCGATTGCTCATGACTAAATTTGAGAAGTACGAATTCGTGTGAGACTCAGGAATGTCAGTCTATGGATCTCATGGGCAGTGTCGAGAAACAAACAGTAAATCGAAGCTCCTGATTCTGCCCCAACTATCTTTTGCCAACTATGCTTTGCAAGTGATGTAGAAAAGAACGAGATTGAACATCAAGGGAGACTTGACTTGAACGGTACTCATAGCAGGCTAGGCACACGCGGCATTACGGAGGTCAGTGGAGAATCGTCAGGCAACACACGTCGCAGAAGGATGCTGCATCGCTCCTTGGCATCTTCGCACAAAGTGTATTTCCGGACGAGACTGTAAGCGCGCGGGCTACAGATCATCTATTCCCGCCTTGCTAACAGTTTCGATAGATTGAATATCTTGGTTGTGCAAGGTGATACTGATGCAGACTCATCATTCAATGTGGAAATACCCTAGAGGACCCGCTGAAGGAAGGAGAAACCTCTTGGCAAGAGCCTTGGCCGATGGCAGACACATGAGCCAAGGTTTCCCGCTACGATGATCGTGACACGGTGATAAGTCAAGCAGACCTTAGCCAGCTGCCTCTAAACAAGGGCGCCCGTCCACGTGTGTGGGCAATGGTGGCGCGGTGAGTGGGAGAAGCAGATTGTGTTGATGTTGAGCGATTGATGAGAACAGATGTCAACTGATCAAATGTAGGTAACGCGAGCTTCGCTCCTTCCCAACGCCCAAGCTGAATATGTTACTAATGTCTTAATGCCTCTCTATCCTGTTTTCTTCATCACGTCATGGATGAGACCTATGTCCATTTTCTGGCATCTGGTCCCGACTCCGCTCTCTATTATCGGCTACGAAGAGCGTCAAAGGCTCCGTGTTATGCTCTCGACAAATGGCACAGTGGGTTTACACGAACTCACAGAAGCGAGGTTGGTAGCATTCGTACCGCCAACGCCATTTGTGACGACAGCAAGCTTGCTAACATGATCTCTACTATCACTGTTGCCTGAACGAAACTGTTTGTGAGAGATATGCCATGCGAGAGGAAGATGCAGAAGAGTTTCGAGGATGGAAGTCGCGACGCTAGACGGTCCAACTTCGGTCGTAATATGTACATGACTTCGAGACAAGTCACCGTTCTTTCTTACACATGTGTCAATCATGGCAAACACTCCATCCATGTTAACAGGCCATCTGGCTCATGACTTATTACATACCCTGGCAGATCTCGACAAAGGGGATAAGCTCCTTGCGGTCAGCTCCCTACTTAGAAGCACTGATTCAACGACTGAAAATCCAGTGAAGCATCCCATAGGGCTGGCGGCTGTGGTTGTTCTGCAGTGGTCATTAGTGTATCTGGTAAGTGATAACCATTCATTCTCATCTAGAGGAATAAAGCGCAGAGCAACTAACACAAGTTAGATTCGCCAAATGGTATTGCGGACAGCAGGGACCTTGATGCTAGAGACCAAGACACGAGGCCGTCAGGACCAAGACTCGTATAAGCTTTCCGGCCACGCCAATCTAGGATATATCCGCCATGCCCTTGCTTCTCCTAGAAGATTGCGCAGAGATGTTGTTCTGGGTGTCACATACAACATGCTGTTCCTGCTGTTAAACAGCTTACTTTCGAGCATCTCATCTTCGTTGACTTGGGAATTGATCTCTCAAGTCATTGTGGGTCTGCTTCTAGCAAATCTGCATCTTCGCTGGACTTGCATCATTCTCTCAAGAAAGCCAACACGAACAAGGATCATCTCATTTCCAAGCCGAGAGCTGATACTGCCATCAATGGTGCATATACTTGCTCAACAAGCAACAGCAAGACTACCTGTTCACCTCAGCGAGACGATTTCTAAGCTGCACTTGGATAATCTTGTGGGTATCGCTGTTGCAGACGCTATCATTCTAGCCACGACTTTTGGTATACGACTGCTTGCTCTCTATCCTGCTTTCGCTGCTCGAGTGTTGATGGAAACAAGGTGGATAACAGAAAGAGTACCTACTGACAGCACAAGAAGACTGGAGCTTGGATCGAAGGCATATGGCGAGGCTGTGAAATTATGCTTCAGAAGGACTACGCTTAGCTTCGGATTGCTGCACTTGCAAATGGTTTCGGTGCTTGTGGTCTTTGAGCTGATCATGACGCCTATTCTCTACAGAACGGTATTCTGAGCTACTCGCCGAGTCATTGAGAAAACGCTGATCAACATACATATCCTCCCCGTATGCTAAAGTGTGTGACCTCCACTGTACTCCGACGACTATAACTGAGAGCAGAATGTAGATTATGAAAAGGCACAATTGCATTCGGAAATAAGGCATTTCCACAGAGAATGAACAGATTGTTGCATCTCAGTGGAACTGTCTTGTTTTCTGTTGCTACCGTGCATTTATATAGCTGCGCGTTACTCACTTCAGCACATGTGGAGGATGGAAGCCTGCTTAGGACGAAGCTCGAGTTATTGGAATAGTTCAATCATCGACCAGAAGATAGAGGTAAAGTGTTGAGATACAGTCCGCATATGTACAAGAGGCGAAAGATCTAATTGTCTAGTAGAAAGTAAATGTGAATGAAACATCTAAAGGGCACGCCTCGATCCAAGACACCCAGCCATACGAGAGGTACCGTTTTCCCAATCCGCATTCAGACATTAAGAGAAGTATAAAAGGAAAAATACGAGATATGCATCATCTTCTCCAAGAAGAAACAAAGGCGTTTACACACCAGAGTCATCGACCCAGATACCCTTCTCGTGAGCCCAAGGACGCCAGTTGTTGCAGACATCGTTCAACATGCAAGTGTCGGTGACAGTATCCTTGATCTGCTCTTGTCCTTCGATGAACTGTAGGGCGAAGCCCATGGCCACGTGCCAACCGATGTGACAATGCATGAGCCAGACACCAGGGTTATCGGTGAAGAAAGCGATCACAAGATGTCCACCTTGACCTGTAGGCCCGTCACCGGGCATGAAGGCCACATCACGGCGAGGAGGGTTGTCAAGGTTGAGAGCCGTGCCGCTACCATAGTTTCCATATCCAGCTGCGAGAACGTAGAAGTCATGTCCGTGAAGATGGATTGGGTGACCTAGTGGTACGGGAGACTCGATAATCACGTAGACCCACTCTCCGAGAGAGGTTGAGATAGCGAGGTCGCCTGAGTAGGTAGGAATGGTGTCATTGTTGACAATGCTGTAAAGAGTAGCATCACCCCAGTTGGCTTGGAAGGTTGTTCCGTCGAGGTACCAGCGGTAGAGGTTGATGCCATTGGAGTTTGAAACAGCAACATCATGCTGGACAGTTTGGTGGGGAGAGCTAACGGATTTCTTGAGGATGGGGACTAGGCTGGCGAGAGGCTCGTCTTCGCAAGTACCGAGGATACCACCGGCACCGTTATCCTTGCGAGGGTAGGTGTGGGCAGTCGAGTTAGGAGTAAGGCCAGGGCTGCCTGCGTAATGGATGATACCTCTGATATCGTCAGAGTTGGTGGTAGTAGCACATGCATTCTGGTTGTCGAATCTCAGGAAGTAGTCGCCAACTTCTTGGTCAGCCTCAACGATGATTTCGTAGCGTTGACCAATGTTGATTGACAAGACTGTGGTCTCATATGGCTCAATCGGGACGAAGTCGGCAGCGATGACTGTGAACTTGTGTCCGTCGATGTAGAACTTGTAAGTCGACTGGATGGCACTGTTGAGAAGCTGGAACAGGTATTTCTTGCCAGGGACAAACTCAGTGGGGACAGTGTAGCGCTGACCTGTGGGTTCGACATCCTTGATTAGAGGATTGATGTTCATACCGTTGATCAAACCAGTATCCATCGTTCTGACACCAGCGACCTGTGCGTCGTTGTACATGTCATCGGGAGTAATGTGAGACCAATCGTTGATGATGAGGTGACCAGCATCCACATCGTAATCAGCGGATTTAGGACCGTGAATGTACATGGGACCGAAGAGACCCTCATAAGCCTGAAGAGTCAAGTGACTGTGGTACCAGGAGAAGCCATAGCTCTCTGCGATCCATCTGTAGGTCATGCTATGTCCCGGAGCAAGGGCGCACTGTGTCAAACCAACGACACCGTCCATTTCGTTCGTGTAATTCTGTCTTATCCCGTGCCCTAAAGTGAAGGTATGATTAGCATGATTCTACAAAGTTGAATGGGCAAGAACACCACGACTTTGCTGGCAGAATGCACTCAACTCTGCGAGATACCGTCCCGCACGGTGGTTCGATACACACCGTACGAGCCTTTCGTGCAGACTGAGACAAAACACCAGCGCTAGTCGTGGTATTTGTACCTTCGGCTTAACTTACAGTGGATGGAGGTTCCGTTGCGAGTCATGGAGTTGGTGACGTGGATGACGACTTCATCACCCCATGAGGCCTCCAGAAGTGGGCCAGGGAATTGTCCATTAACACAGAGTGCCTTACGACTGACTCCATCAGGTGCAATTACGCACTCGGTTAAATCGAGGCTGTACTCAACAGTGTTGCAAGTTTTGGGTACGACGGCATAAGAATCATCATTGATCGTAAGACCACAGTACTTGTCAGTTCCAGGCTGACCCTCGCAACGGACACATGTAGCAGTAGATGTAGGCTTCACTGAGCAGGCAGTAGTATTGGTAGCGACAGGGTGGCCAGATGGGATGCCTCCCCAGTTGTTGAAATCCCAGGTGGATGTGCTTGCAGAGCTTGTAGAGTTCAGGTAAATTCCAGATGAGGTAGACAGGCTAGTCGAAGGTCCAGTAACGATGGGGGCAGTTGTCAAAGGCGCGCTGACGGTGGAGTTCGACGAAACTGTCACGATTGTCGAGGCAATGCTTGAGGTGAGGTTGTAGCTCGTGGTGAGGGAGACTGTGGATTTCAGGGCAGAGCTTGTGCTGTTACTGACGACCGAGGTAGAGACGCCTGTACCGGTAGGTCCAACAGGCAAAGCACTTGTAGTATCGTTTCCATAAGGTGCACCGCTGGTTGTGCTCGACGGGATGCCACTTGAAGCACCTGTGCCGATAGGGCTAACAATGACGGTTTTGGTAGTGACGACTGAAGTCGAGACACCAGTGCCGGTGGGTCCAATGGGAAGGCCGCTGGTTGTTCCATTACCATAAGGAGCTCCGCTCGTGGTCGATGAAGAGACGCCGCTCGAAGGGCCTGTACCAAGGGCTGTAGTCGATGTAACACTGCTGGTGGAGTTAATCAGGACAGTTGAGCTGGAGGCACCACCAGTTCCAATAGGGGCCGTAGGTCCAGCCGAAATCAAACTGCTGGTTGAGTTGTCATAAGGCGCTCCGCTGGCAGTGCTCAAAGAGACACCACTGGATGGCCCGACACCAATAGGGGCTGTAGGGCCAACAAAAGAAGTGGTGTTCAGGCGGACGGTACTAGTGGTGTTGACGAAGATGGTCGATGTAGAAGATGCCGTATAAGTCTCGTCGGTCGTGCCAGGCACAGTAGGACCGGCAGACACTGTGCTACTGGTTTCATTACCATATGGTGCTCCACTGGTAGCGCTTGTCGACAGGCCGCTTGAAGGTCCAGTGACAATGGGTACGGTACCGTTCGAAGTCGAGACTTCGGTAGTCAATGTCACGGACGACGAAACAGTCGTTGAAGAAGTGGTGCTATTCACCGCAGGGATCTTTGAGCCAGTCGAGGATGTTGAAGACACTCCAGAGGAGCTTGTTGAAGACTCTGTGGACGTAGTCGAACTCTCGCTGGTCGACGTAGTCGAAGGGGCGACACTGCTGCTGCTCGAACTCTTGGGGGCGTCCTTGATCTTACGTGCACCTCTAATGCCTTTGTTGGAGGTGGGTTTGCCTAGCTTCTTCTTCATGTAACAGGCAGTACCAGACATACTGATGTCGATGCAACCCTCTGTGGCGTCACAAGCGTTGACACAGTCGGCGATTCTGTTGCTGGCAATGTTGACAGACTTCAGGTCACCACCAGCGTAATCGACGAAACACTCGATGAGGAGAAAGTCGCACCACTGTCAGCGATGAAGACAGTGTTGTTTGCGGCAGGACAGGTAGGGCTAGTCGAGGTAGGAAGAGCTGACGACGAAGAGCTCGTTGAAGAGGAGTTCGAGTATGAGACGGTCGAACTGGTGGATACCGAGACGGATGATCCAGATGTGGCAGATGTGGCAGATGCGGTGGATGAGGTGCTGGAAGTGAAGTTTTCTGCCTTGCCAATGAAAACGGCACCTCTGATGATAGAGTTCTTGACTGGATTTCCGGCTTTGCTCTTCATGTAACAAGCAGTACCAGACATTGCAATAGCTTTGCATCCTTCAGTCGCATCGCACTCAGCAAGACAATCTGCAATCTTGTTCGAGCTGATCCAGGTCATTTTTAGGTCGTTACCAGCATGGTCAAGACTGCAGGTAATCTTGTACTGGTTCCCAATCTCGGAGGTGTAAATTGTGTCGTTAGACTCGGGACAGGTTGGGTTGGGGTCAGCTCTGGGGACCAGGTTGCTCCAAGGCCATCCGCCATTGCAAACGCCGTTGTTTTCCTGACAGCCTGCACCACAGGACTTAGCGTCACCGCCACTGTGAGTTATTAGCGAGTATTCAATCAAACGATAGAATGTGCTACACATACCACCAGTTGTTCTTTCCGCAGCACTCGCCAAATTTTGAGCCTTTGCATGTCACATCGTGACCGCACATGCCGTTCTGACTGACAAGTTTGCCCTTGTAGGTAGGAACACAAGCACCAAACTGCTTCTGACAACCCAATCCACAGAAGAAAGCACCTTCACCGCAAGTTCCGGCTTTTGAGCAACAATCGCCAAGATATGAGTTCAAGCATGTCTGGCCTGTAGAACCACCACACTTTCCATCTTCACTAATAGCGAGTCCATTGACTTCGTGGGGTGTGCTAGGAGCAGCAAGTACTCCGACTGCACAAAGCAGTGCGGAGATTATGTGGAAGCGCATCGATGGAGGAGTAGAGAATGAAGGTATAGATAAAACGATGGGGATATCAGAAAGTTGAAACGAGAGCAGCTAGGCGTGATAAGGCCAACGATTGAAGCCTCGATCCTATCGCCTGCTGAAGGGTATAATGAAGATGCTGGTTTACTGAACACCGAAGGAGATTGCTAGGGTACTTATATGACCTGCTTCGAGGACATCCTCCGAGTGGACCCATACCTGATCTCATCTAGGATGCATAGCCCTAGCACTTCAGGCCGCATCCTGGGTATGCTGAACAGATCCAGTGGTCAGAAAAATGGCACCCACCATGGCGTACCGAGAAAGAGCATGCTCGCAAGCAAAGTGTTGCAGGAAGCCGGAACCAAGCACTCGGCGTGAGCGTAGAATAGGCGGATGGCGTGCGGAAGTGCATTGAAAGTCCGAGAAGCTACAGAGTGTCCGAACGACGGCTCAGACGCAAAGAACCTGCATGTTTACTGTTGTACGACCATGTCGGACATTTTTTGAGCCAATGACCAATGCAGATGAAAGCAGGTACAATGGGAGACAACCCTAATTCAAACTCAACCCTTCGAAAACGGTGATCTTTCCTTGCCTCTGCTACCACTATAGCATTTTTGTCTTGTTAAACCTGCTATGCTGCGAGCTCTTGGGCCTCTCACACCAAAGGTAGCGAAGCAAAGGCAAGAAAGAAGTACGGCTCTCCGCTCGGGAAGGCGCAGAAATAGATCTCTTGGTCCTTGGAGGCTCCAAGCTGCCCCAGCATGCCCAAGAAATTTCCAAGATGAAGTGGAAACTGGTGCAGAGTGCTAGGTTAAGCTTGGTTCGATGCTGTCCATTTGGGGTATAGCGCGACCGTTAGATGCATGGCGTGAGCGGACGTGCATCTTTCCATTGTTTCCTCGCGTGGTGCTCCCATTCTCGATAAATCCACAATAGCCAGGCAGAGGGATGGCAGCTGATACACCAAGGTTGAGTCGCGGAAGGACCACTCTTGCATGAGGTGCCTGAAAGCCCGATTTATTTCATCTCGTGGCGAGCGAGGCAAGGGCACCAGCACACAGCTCGTGTCATTAACATCAATCCAGCTGAAGATATCGTCAGCGCCAAATGCTTGACATACATCAATAGAGTATTCCCCTACCTGTCTTTTCCCAGTCCAAGAGATCGATATGAGAAGGCAGCACCTTCAAGCTTTGCTGTGCATACCGAAGGAATTGTTTCCACAGGGCTGTATCTGCGGAATAATGCAAAGGTGGAGTCAGCGGGTCCTCTCGTTCAACCAGCGCATCGAACAACAAACAAATGTGACAATCATCACTGTCACATCTGCTCGCACATGGTCAGTTTTTGTGGATAGTGTTGTACCCAAAGCAGTCATGATGGTATTCGATGTGAAAGTTCAAGCGACAGCCCCACATCTCATCGCTTTCGCAGATATTCTCCGTGACCAATCAACACGACTGCCATCGCGAATCTATCGCCGTGCTATCTTCTCGCTAACATCAAAAGAGCTTGCCTGCAGATGCATCACGGCCAGGAATAGCGCTTCGGAGATTTCCTGCGTGTGGATTGCTGTCTCTTCACACCTGAGCCATGCATGCTGCGTTTCTGCTGACTGCAGAGGCCGACCCGTCCCTGTCGCTTTCACTGCTATGGTGTGATTGCGCATCGCGCTATTAAAAAAAATGTGTCAGGAAGCTTTTCCTGTCAAGCGAATCTGACTTGTTTACCATGTTGATACAATATCCCTGCTCGTTGCGGCTCTGCGCTTGACCGTTGAGCTTTGAGATCTGGAGATTTGTGCGACTTTGCAACACGAAGCCATGATTTAATTAAGGTCTTCGCCGAATCACTCAGCTTGCGACCAGCATTTGTTGGTCGCTTCCATCAAAGGTCGAGAGCGCTCATATCTGCTGACCGGTCTCATCTTGATCCGAAGGTGTACTGATCGGCTTCCGAATCTGGATGTTGAGCGATCAACCAGAGTTCACAGTGGGATCCACTTCCACCATTCTCCGCCATGGCATCCACTTCGCCTTCTATCCACAACCAACACATCTTGCCTTCTTCTGGTTATATCTCCGAATCTGATGGCCAAGCCCTGAGAGGCTCTGTGCTTCTAGTACACTTGCCTTTGTTCCACGTGGCGAACTGATTTATCCACATCATGCCCGCACTTCAGCTTGTACTTTCCGATACACCATCTTGGAGGAACTTTCGAGCCAAGACGGCATGACCCTCACCTCCGAGCCTTCCAAGACGAACTTTCCGGCATCCTTGGGTCTCCCGATTGCCAAGATACCTGTACAGTCACCGGTGGTCAGTTACGTAGCGACAGAACGTGATGTTGCGACGAAATTGCAGATGATCATGTCTGAATGACCATGCTGTGATTACAGGTGTTTAATATTTCCTCACAACATCATTTTTGGTACATACGGCCACAGTCAGCTGAAAACTGGGCATCCCGTCCGCTCTGCCATACATAAGCAGTTGAACGGCAGATTAGTACTACGGTGGGTGACCACGTGGGAATCCCTGCTGCTGTATGTTTTGCATTTCTTTTGCTTCGTATCACGAACATTGTCTAGCCATAGCAATGATTGCGAACACTTTGGTTCTCGAGTTCATTGCAGCCGTTATGTTCCAATGGGGTCCAGTTAAAGCTCATCCCCAGAGGACTGATTGCAGGGTTTTTATCTGTCAAAATACACAGAGATGTTGTCGATTGTTATTTGAGCGCTAAGATTCTGCTGCTGTATGTTTTGTCTTTCTTTTGCGCACCGTCCTGATTCTTCTATCGCAAGCTTCTCTCTGGCAAAGTCGCACCATCACTACCCATGTCTTAATCTATACTTTTGGCTCTTCCTTCCTCCCCGTATACTAAAGTCTGTAACTTCACCGTACTCCAACTATAGTTCAGAGCAAAATCTAGACTACAAAAAGGCACAGTTGTTATCAGAAACAGAGCGTGTCCATAGAGAGTCGACAACTTGTTGCCTCTCAGTGGATACTATCTTGTTTTCTATCACTATTCTGCATTTCTATAGATACACGCGTTACATACTTTAGTACACGGGGAGGTTGCACATGTCTCTAATCTGAACATGACTATGCTTGTTCGCAACAGATGCGTCGCTCTGCGCCAATGTGAGGAAGATTAATGGCATTGTCACAAGGTATGCAGAGATACACCAAAGCACAGCAGAGTCAGGTAAGATGAAAAATGTATCATAGCTGAGAGCTGAGCAAAAGAACAGTAACGACAGACCTTATGTGCAAAAGCAGTATCCAGAACTAGAAAACAACTCTCCTCTGCTTCTCACCCTGCATTCTCAGTCCTCCACCACCAACTCGCAAACATTCCGTCCTGATCAATGTCGTCCCCAGGATCTCAAGGGCAAGCTCCCGTGCTAGGATCGATGCGGAACCAGAACCCATCATGGTACTGCTCGCTCCCAGACGCACAACCCCCNAACTCAGTCTTGAAAGCACTCATACAAGTGTCAAAATCAATAACCTTGTCCGCACCACCATCTCTCATCTCCACAGCCCAATCAATATGGTTATAGCCATAAGTCGGACCAGGGTCGCAGTCAGGATCACAGCCCAGTCCACAAAGAGCAGCGGCGTATTCTTTAGGCAGAGCAGCACACCCCATCTCACAGTCGGAAAAGCAATTCTCGTGCGAGCTAAAGGTTTCTTGCCAGTTTGTGCAGCGCCAGAAGGGAGAAGAGCCGCTGATGGTTTTTCCGGCGACGGCTTGGCAGGTTGAGGTTATGTCGGCCAGGACTTCGGAGTAAAGGTCGTGGTTGGAGGCCCAGCCTCCATGCAGGGTATTGAAAGGCATGCCACCGTAGCAGCCTGTTCATTTTTCAAGAGCGGCTGGGACAGGGCCTGCAGTTGCGGGCTGAGAAAGAGAGGTGAGGAGCATGGCTGCTGCCACAGAAAGTTTGGCGATGAAGGACGACATATCTGAGGTTTGCGGTGTCAAAGAGATGATGTTTCTTGGTTCTTGTGCGCAGTGGAAGGTAAGAGAAGAGCCGTCGATGCAAGATCTTATGTTTCGATGATTTGAATGAGAATGAGTTTGGAGAAAACATCATGCCTTTTATATACAGCACTCAAAGCGACTCTCCATGATTCTCAGAGTCAGGCGAGTGTAGACGATCCTGAAGGCTGAGCACCAGCATCCAACTGGCAGGAATCTTGTTGGTTTCTGCATCTGTAGGTTGCAGGAGGTTCATGCTCGAAACAGAACGATATGCAAAGGATGAGGCTATGTTGAAAGGATCCGATTCCGTTGCTCTCACGGTATAGGATCCCCAGAGCACATTCCAAGCACAAACACAGCACCATATGATCGTGCCTTGATGGAGTGAAGATGGCCATGAAGTTGTTTCCAATACCCATAAATAGGTCGCTTGGCACTGCAGCCAAGTCACATATGCAAGGCAGCTATGCTTCCCTCAGTCTTCCCTTCCCATCTCGTGTGCTCGAGACTGTTGCAGTGTAGCTGCTGAAATGCACAACACTTCCTTGAATAAGGTAACATCCATGGAGAAGATGTTGTGTCAGGATGTTTCCATGGCCATACCGCTGGACCAGAAAGCAATTGTCAATTGTTATAGTGTTTTGCGTTATCGTGTATCATTGGGAGAGAATTACTAGCACAAGACAATCTTGAGCCTGGCGCACAGATTCTTCCCCTTCAGAAGACGAGTCTTCAGAAAGCTATTCAGAGATCCTGGGCAGAGGATGCGCATAAAGGATCTGAGGAATGTCTTGGGACCTTGGCGTGGCGGCTGAGCTCCTCTTCTGTAGCACCAACAACTCTTAGCTAAGTGGAAGGATGATCTATGTTGGTATATCAGTGGTGAGAAGAGTTTGATTGGTCGTCGTACCTGCATACATTAATAACTAATATCGTGCCTGACATCCCAAACATAGCTCTGATCACCACGAGGTAGTGTATGTCACATCACATTGCGAAGCTGGCATTGGTTTGTTCCGCTTGGATGGTACTGTTATTAAAAGGTTCCGTTACTCGTTAAATTACATGTCTGGAATCATGACTATTTTTGGGGTCGCTCTAGTTCGACTGAACGGTGGCGAGCTTGCTGCGAACAGGGACGTTCTCCTGTCTGCCAGGCTGAGGGAAGCCGCTGAGCTTGACGCCGTTGCGGAACAACAGGCAGTGGGACGAACCACCGAAGTGGAACATACCAGTCTCCTGGCCCTTCTTGACGTGGTCACCCTCCTTGACAGTAATCTCGCAAGTCGAGACTTCGTCCATACCGATACCGATGAAGGCCATGAGGCCAATGGCCGGGTTGTCAGCCTCGATGAAGATGATGGCTCTTGTGGCGAGAGCACTCAGGTAACCTTGACCAGTCGAGATACCGTGTGCGTCAATCTCCTTGGTGTTGGGGTCACCGAGACCTTCGAAGAGAGGCTCGCTGAAGTAGGTGCCATCTTGCACGAAGGCCTTCTTGATGGTACCGCTGACGGGAGCGTGCCAGCGGTGGTAGGAGAGAGCAGACAGGAAGGCCTGGTAGACAGTGCAGTCGGCGAACTGGTCTGCCAGGGGGTCGTTGGCGAGCATGTCTGTGACACTGTAAGGCTGACCCTTGATCCAGAACTTGTCTCTGAGCTTGGCGCGCTCCTGAACCTGGAAGACCTTGCTCTCACAGGCGTTGTTGATGACGTTGTCGTCGTCAGGGCTGTCGACAGGACGGACCTCGTCCTTGAAGTGTCTGGTGAAGAAGTTGTCCCACGAAGTGTAACCGTAGTGCTTCTTGCTGGTGTCACAGACGAAGAAGTCCTCGAACTTGTGGTTGGTCTTGTAAGGGGCATTGGCAACAGACATCATGTCTGAGGTACCGGTCTCGCCGAACCAACCGGTCTTGCCCTCGTGGAGCACACCAGCAGACTCAGGGGACTGGAGGAACTTGCCCCACTCATTGAGGACCTTCTTGATCATCTTGTTGACATCGGGGTCGAGGAAGGCGGCGTGACCAGAGGGAGTGGACATGGGGTAATCCAGGATAGCACACATGGGGACACCGACCATACCGACGGCTTGGGCAGAGTCAGTCCAAACGGGGGCTGAGCCGAAGACGTGGTTGAGGACCTCGAGCATGTGCTCATAGTCACGGATCTGCTTGCGACCGGTAGGATCTCTGCGGTAGACGTGCTTGTAGGGGACTTCTTCGAACATGGCAGTGAAGTACATGTAGATTCTGGGGTTGCCCTCAATAAACTCCTTGAATTCTTGGAGAACAGGGATCAACGGCTTCTTGTTCTTGTGGGCATTCTTGACCTGCTCGCCGAGCCACTCGTGGTGAGTGCGGTGATCGGTGGGCAGCCATGCTCCGGGTCTNGTCTTGTCATTAGCCATTGAGTTTGTAGCTGAGAGGTGCTTTCCATCTTACCTTGAGACCTGGTGCTCGTGGGGAATGTCATGGTTTTCACCGTGCTGCTGGACCTTGGTATCGTGCGACATGATGAAAATGTTTTCGAATTGCCTGTGTGAGATTGGGCAAAACTAGAATTGGGAAGATGAAGAGGAATTGGACAAGTAAACGGCGAGCTCTGAGGCTTTTGTTGATTTCATCCACGACGCTTATGAAGTCATCGTGACCAACCCCGCAATGATGCGGCATCTTCGGCCTGGCTGCAAAGCCACAGCTCCGCAATAAGCTTTCACCAAGCTCTTCTTCCAAGAAATTCACTTGGAACACGAACCATTCGTGGGTCTGGCACGGCAGCCACGGAAGACGCGTGTTCTTGATCTGGAACATGTTTGGTGCTATCGTCGACTGCGCATACTTGTGTCCACGCCTCTTAAAAGTGCCGCATACATGGCTCGTCAAAACATCGTCACTAGAGGCGCCCCGTGCCATCGCTGCTTGTTAGACTGAAATGTGGCGGAACAACCCTGTATCATAATCGAGATCATCTATCCGCCCTCACCCGTCGATCATGATCATCCCGATCTGATTCCCACGTTCTTAACGTAGAGCTGTTTTCGGTCAGGGTGGTGCCCACAGCTAATCCTTGAAACATCGATAATGATGTTATACAGCAACGACATCTTGCTCACACTATTGTGGCACATTAGAGGACTATATAGTGTGTGAAGAATCCAAAGCAATGCTTGAGAGAATGATATAAAGGCTGTATGGTACGATGTCCGGCATGATTGAATTGTCCATTCTTTTCTGCTGAATGCATGCAGCAGCCACAACAACACAAACCCCTCTTCCCCCACCACCACGCTAACAATTTCAAACAGTTCACCTGTCATGGACTCCCGACAACCTTCAGTAAGGTTTCTGCGCATCTCGAAGTATCGACTGTCTTATTTTGGTAGAGTGGGTGAACAGCTGACCACCGAGTGTTGTTGAGATCTTGGAGAAAACGCTCTTCCGGATCTTCCAGGCAGCCCAACGCTTCATGAGAGTTGCTGTATCAAAGTCTCTCTCTTTGCAATATGAAACTCTATCGATAGTCGAATTACTCTGCTATCTCCGCTCAGGAGTATCCATCACCTCATGAATGTCCTAACAATCACAGGAAGTACAGCTTGAAATGGGAAAAGGACATCTTCTCGTATGTAATTCGTACCTCTAACACCGACTAATATAATCAACTTTTGATGATTTATGTTCCAATTTAACCCTTGACAATCTCGCCGGGACCACTGCTGGCCTTGCCTTCCATTTCGAGCTGCACCTCCTCGCGAACGATCTCTCTAACGTCTTGCCAACCAGCGCCGTTCTTGACGATAGTGACGCGACGAGGCTGTTGCTCGAGACCGACAAACTGCTCGGGCTGAACAGCCTTGAAGCTGAAGCCTTCTTGGCCACCAAGCGCCGTCTCGACTGCCGACGAGAATTTGGCAGGGTGAGCAGTAGCAAGAGCGATGTGGTGGGCGCTGGGTGCGCGTTGGATGGAGCGCAAGGAAGCAGCGATACCGATGGCACTGTGGGGATCAAGGATGTACTTGCCCTGGTGGACGGTGCCTTGTGTAGCGTAAGCACCGCTGTTCTCGCCAACGGGTGTCATGCCGTTGCCTGAAGCATATGTCTGGGTGATCTGCTCAAGAGTCTGCTTGTCAGACACACGCTCAGATTCGAAGTCCTCGTGTGCAGCGTCCAGAATAGCCTTCTCGACGCCGAAACCGCCGTCGGTCTTGAGTGCTTGCAGCCAGGTCTTGACCTGCTCACCAGCAGCCTTGCGACGCTCAGTGACGTTGTCACTGCCATTGACGCGGTACGACAAGTACCACAGCAGACGCTCGAAGTTGCTGCTAACCAAGATATCCATGGCAGGTGCCAATGTCTCCTTAACACCATCGAGATGTGCCTTTGCGCCGTCGTGTTCGAAACCACCCTCAGCCTCGCGGCCGTGGACAGGCTTCTTCTCGTAGTGACCGCTGCGCCAGAAACGGTGCAGAATGTCGTTCTCGTTTGTGGCAATGACGAGCTTGTCCACAGGCAGACCCATGCGCTTGGCGAAGTAACCGGCAAGGATGTCACCGAAGTTACCAGTGGGAACGACGAAGCGAACTTGAGGGTTGGAGGAGTCGAGTGCGCGGGCGAGGGTGAAGTATGATTGGAAGTAGTAGGTGATTTGTGCAAGAATACGGGCCCAGTTGATGGAGTTGACGGCAGCGAGGCGGTGGGTGCTGTTCATGTCGGCGTCACCGAAGAGAGCCTTGACAAAGTCCTACACATCGTCAGTATTCTGAAAGAAGTAGTGTATCCAGAGTCCACGCACCTGGCAGTCATCGAAAGTGCCGTCGACAGCCAAGTTGTGAACGTTGGCATCAAGGACAGTGGTCATCTGAGCCTCCTGAACAGGGCTGACCTTGCCCTTGGGGTGCATGATGAAGACTGAGACGTCCTTCTTGCCGCGCAGACCATAGATAGCAGCAGAACCAGTGTCTCCACTAGTAGCACCAACAACGGTCAAATGTTGTCTGTCAGTGCCCTCCTTGCCCTTGTTCATGCGCACGAGGAAGTACTCGAACAGGTTGCCGACAAACTGAAGTGCGACATCCTTGAAAGCGAATGTGGGACCGTGGAACAACTCCATCAAATGCAGGTTCTTGCTCTTGTCAAGAGTGACGACGGGTGTGACATCCTTGGCGCGGAATGTGGCATAACTGCGGTGGATGATATCTTTGAGGTCGGCGGAGGGAATTTCGCTTTCGGAGATGTACAAGCTGAAGATTTCAAAGGCGAGCTCTTGGAAGGAGAGGTTGCGCCATTTGGATTGCCAGTCTGAAGGCAGCGCAGGAACTTCTTCAGGGATGAACAGACCGCCGTCTGCTGCAAGACCCTTGAGTACGACGTCTTCGAATGACAGCTAGAACAGCTTCTTCTCAGTTGGAGACTTGTCGTAGGGGAGGTAGTGTATTCATACGTCGTAAGAGCCTCCTCTTGTGCTCAGGTAGCGCTGCGATGCTGTGTGCGATGCCATCTTGATCTTCTCTCTTGTCGTCTGTGTCGCTCAATGCTTCTTCTCCTTTCTCCCTGGCTCTTTCAAATGATCGTAATTCGTGATTATGTCGATTGTGAGTGAGTCACGTACTTCTACAAAACATTCAACCAAGTTTCAAGAGCCGTTCAATCGCTGACCCCTCGGTCTAACTTCTTGGTCTGGCCAGAGCGTCATCCCCACCAAATTTGCCGCGAAGTCGGAGGTGCTGCCATTCGACATCGCCCGAGCACGCTTGGGACTGCAAACCCGATCACCACCATGTTGTCGTATCCTAAAGGTAGGTCTATATATTTTCTCAGGATACAGGTAAATTGTAAAAGCAAGACCCCAACACCGCAGAGTCAGAGAAATTGGGCAAGCGATAAGAGCCATCTGCAATACCTACCATGCGTTTCAACAGCTCAAGCAACCTTCGCGTCCATATATACATAGCAGTCTGCATCTGAACAGTAGTAAAATGGTCTATCAACATCAATAGATGTAGGTATGCGACTGTTTGCAGCGAGTTAAGTTTGGTCTCTCAGCCAGACATCCTCCCGCAATTTCTACCATTACCGACGGCCACAACTTCTCTCGGTTACTATCCCATCCATTAATTGTCATGGTCGATAGCACAATAAGAAGAGGACATCATCGTTCAAGACCAGAGATATGCGGTGGATGCGTGGTGCAGCCAAAATTTCGAACCACATCCCCAGGCTTCACCACCCCAAATGCGTATATTATATCACGACACAGCTCTGGTACCACTTCACATGGTCAGAAAACTCTGCTATTCAAACAGAGCAAACGTTCTGAGCGCACAGGCCGCTGCGAGCTGTATAAAAGCGCGTTCTACCTCGCCCTCCTCCTTCTCTCATTAGTCGACTTTACTTCGTACGTTCTACCACTCCCTGGTCTATACCACCGACCTTCTGAGCATCATACTGACTTCCTATTACAGAAAGAATCATTTCTTTAGTTAGTCATCTTATCTGAACTCTTCAAAGAGCCACAGAACTCCAACCTGGCGGATGAGCTACATCCCCGATGCCCTAGAGTGATACCAAGTATCTTGGCTCCGGCCTCGATGGTGATGATCTCGACCCTTTCAGGCGTCTGGCTTCGGTCGGTTTGACTGGGTGGGCGTTGGCGGACTTCTGACAGGCCTTCTTTTTTCATCAACTGTTTACCTGGCCTATGGCTGGGCTTTGAAGAAGAAAAATTCTGCATCACTCCCAAAAGAAAACCTGCATTGCCTCCATCCCATGCTGTTGATGCAGCAATCAAGCATACTGCTTGTGCTGCCTGAAGTTCCATCTATGTCTTCGTTGTCTTGTCTGGCAAGCATTGCTTCCATGAAGCCTGATGGAGACTACATGCACCAAACATCATCTCATGTCTGCCCATACTTGCATGTCTCGCTCAATCCTATGCTCTGTATTCTTTCTATCCAGTATCTTTACTTGACTGCCTATGGCAGATTCCTATCCTGTCTGCTTCCATCTGCATTCTATCTCTTCAGAAGCAACCACTATTTTCTTTGGAAAGACCATCCACTCCAAGTGGCTTCCAGATATGGCTTCTCGATGCTTCGCTACGGTTTCCTTCTGCAACCATGTCTGCTGCTTTGAGTCTCCTGAAGCATGTACCGAACATGGCTGCACCACCCCTTGAGCATATGCTTGCTTGCCATGGGCTTGCAGGGTGGTGACATACAAAGGAAAGCATGAGCACACGTTGAAGCATCCTACAAGCATTCACAGTCTTCAAAAAAGTCCAAGGAGGTCGTCAAGATCACTCTCTAATGGCAGAGTCTTCCAAGCCGGCTGAATGTCGGCAAAACCTTGCAGCACCACGACTACTGTTTCCAGCAACTCTTGAATGCTCTTCAGCGATGGCAGAACTCCTTCCATCAAGTTCGAGTCGGGCGAGTGTTTGCAAAGATACCTTCGGCCTTGCTCGTCGTTGTCTCCTGGCGTAGTGCAACTCTCCACATCCTGCTCTTGCTGACAG